TGTATGTCCAGTTCTTGTAATGGATTTTGAATGTGATATATTTGAGGTATTTCAATTATATGTTTACCCTATTTGGGTAGATCCAATTACATATTTCTAGCACTATTATGAAATAAATTGTTATTTTTTGTCAAAGTAAATACTTGATTTTCCCAGTAATTATAATTTATATATGTCATGAATTAAACATAAAACACCAGCACAGATGTTGCTGTTGAAGGTAATGTGCTGTCCATAGCCTTAACAGTGGTGAGAACCTACTGTCGTGAGCTGAATACTAAATATCACAATGCTGCATAAAGGTATAACTTCTGGTTCCAAAGATGGAAAATTATGAAAACAACTTAATGCTTAGTAGTGTTAAATTTTTACATACCAACATTATGTACTCTATGCACATTTTTAAAGAAGGAATTTAGAAATCATTATTGATTGGTTTCATGAAAAGGGTGCAGCATGAAGAATTATATATCTGATTTGGTGCAGTACACTCAGCTACTGTAGCTGTATAGCACTTTTTTGCTCCATTGTCACTATATCTGAATAAAATAATGGGGTCCTTATATCAGCTGTCAGAAACTGAATATCCCTGTGGCGATAAATTGCCTCTTAAAATGTCTTCCTTAAGCCCCTGCTCTTCCCCAAAATGGTGAAATTCCATCTTGTGTGCTTCTTATAGAGTAAGGGTTTTACACAAGGAAGGCCTGTTGCTGAAAAGGGGTAGATAGTGGTTAAAATGAATCCAGATGTGACACTGATTTAAAGTCTGATTGTGGTCAGTGCAGTAGAAGTACACCAGCCTGAAATCACCACTGTGAATAATTCTAATTATTTAGATCTTTCTTTTTCATTTTGGAAGATTTTTCTGGAGAATTTGCTGCAGTATATTTTGAAACCACAGGTGGAATTGTAACATGTTGGATTTTTAAACGAGCCCTGCTCTTGGATTTTCATCAGAACAGACTTTGAGTGGCAGCAGTCATGGTTGATGTCTTGCAGCTGCTGGCCTGTATCAGCAGGTGCTGACGTTAATTAAGGTGACCAAAAGCCACAAAAATTGACGACAGTATTTTTATTCCAGTAAATAAAGTTGATTGAAACTGGCAACTTATTTTATGATTTTCTTCAGGGGAAACAGAGAGAGCCTCATTCAATAAATGGTAGTAATGCATTTTGCAGGTGTAAGGCGCCCTTACCACATGCTGAGCACACCTCCTGTGTTAACTAAGAGAAGCACTGCTAGCCTAAAGTGCAACTCGGCATGCAGAAGGCTTACCATAAAGTTCCAAGTTCAAGTCATTTAGACAAATGAGTAATGCTAATGACCGCTAATGCATGCAAATGGCATCTCTAAATACCTCCCAAGGAGTTGTGCAACACACAAACAGAATTCAAGAAAGGGTGCTAACTTCACTGTGTGTCTGCACGTGGAAAGCCTGAGGTGAAGTGTTCAAAAAATCTTGCTAGCATGTGAGAACAAAGGAGGTGGTGTTGTGTCACAGACCGAGAAGAGGGGAACAAGATCAAAGTACCTTGAGCATTTATTTTTTGTGTGTCTATTACTTTTATATATCATATCTTGTTTTTAGATTTATTCTACATTAAACATGAAAAAAATGTACATTTAACATTAAAAAGCAGAAAAGGGGGATCAGGATAAATATTTTGGTCCATAACTATTCTTTTTTCACTACAGATAAAGACAAACTTGGAACATGTTCATCAAGTTAAAAACCAGTTTCGTATAGTGTGAGCTACAAGCCATTGTGATGTACACATATACAGTATGTGAATAAAGGGGAATACATAAGTGTTATATTAAAGTAATCAATGCTTAAAATATGTACAGGCTTTTTATTTTATTATTTAAATATAGGTCCTATCAAATTAATAACTACAGAATATGTATTGAGGTAGAGTAAAAACTGCTTTATTTATTCAAAGATTACAATAAACTGAGAGGTGAATAGTTTACATTCTTAGGGATGCTTTCAGGGTGAGGCAGTGCGACCTCATAATCTCATTTATATAATAATGTGCATGTAAAGAATGAGTCACATGGATTTCTACACTCTTCTGCATCAGTTGTGAATTTGTAGGAAAAGTTGTTATGATGGATTTTGGTTTATTTTTTTTAGTTGCATGTTTTGCCCTGTTGAGAAGATTGTAGAAAATTGTAAATGCCCTTAATTTCATACGATCAGATTTTTATTGTGGTAAAATAGCTCATTTTTCCTTTTAAATGAAGTGTAAGTGTCTCTATGTACACTTCATGTGTATTTCTGCAAGAACACTAGTGAAAATGTTACATTATACCGATTATCCTGCTGTTTCTGCTTTCCAGCTGGACAAATTGTGCCATAGGAAAAATGTACTAAGTAAAAGGAAGTAAGATTTTTCATTGGAAATGTGTCTCTGCCCATTGAAAAGCTGTTGCCGGGCATTAAACAATTTAAACTATTAAGCTTTTGTTAATGTAAAGGTACTGTTAATAATTATATATTTTTAAGAAATTAAAGGCCTAATTATACAAGTATTGCCTGTTTAGTATGGTGTACAATGCACAACAAACATGAATAACAAAACAAAATAGATTTCCAAGAATAATTTTGAAACTAACCGAAAACAAGACAACAATGACTCAGATTTCCTTCTCTTTAAAGAATTAGGCTCATAATGCAGTGTTAAAAGATTTCAAAGAATGTGTCCTTCACTGTGGAATTATTTTGTAGCCTGCTGTGTGCAAATATGAATAGTAAGTACTGTTTACTTAGCAGTCACGTGGGAGCCTTTCCACAGCAGTTAGGTTTGAGCACTGTATGAAGGGAATGATTAGAAAGTTATCAATAAAGCATTCATTACCAATACTCAGAGTAAACAGTTAAAATGAAGGGTAAATAGCTTTAAATAACACTTTGAACGTGTAATATATTGACCATGTGGGTTAATAGGTCTAGAAAATCTTTGAATTTAATATAATTAACCTGCAGGCTATGGTGAACACCCCCATGTCAATTAAAAAAATACTTCTTTTTTTTTTGCTGGCTGTAGCCAGTGATTATAAAGGAGATTGATTTTAATCAATTGGCTGTATCCCTGCTACTCTAATGCGCTGCTGATTTGTTTTTCATTGGGAAAGTAAACAGAAACAAGAAAAAAATGCTAACCTGCTCACAAAAATGTAGGATCCTGCAGTTATTTTTATGCCCTGCAGATTTAGTACACGGGCTGTGAGAAGCCCAGCTACAAAACTCCAAAGGCAGCACAAAGGGGAGTGTAAATGAGGAAGTGCAAGCAGACTTCTCCTTCTCACCATCTTCTAGCCAGTTGTATTTTATCACATCAGAGGAAGTAACACCCTATACAGGAGGTTCAGCTCTGACTGGTGAAGAGGCATATTTCTCACCAACAGCACTGGAGGTCACTGTGTTGCTGAGAGATAAGAGAGCCCTGCCAACAACTCCTGTCCTGCCAAGGTGGAATTCAGCCATCTGTGTGCACCACTTGGGCAATCTAGTCAGCTAGTGACCAGGCTGGAGCCCATGATCATAGAGCACCTTTACCAGTTAAGCCACTCGGGGATTCCCTGTAGCGTTAACTAGCAAAATACATAAACTGTGATTCACATGACACTGAGCCATTATAATGTGTACATAATGGTAGTGAAGTAAAACTCCCAGCAGTGCTAAGAAACGCAGAGACACATGAATGAGTTAAGAGAATCCCAGGTTTGAGAAGAGGGCATGCCTTTCTGCAACGGCATAGCTGGTAAGATAAGATAAGATCACTTTATTGGCCATATACAGTTTCTTATATTAGGTATTTTTCCCATACCACAGCTTGCTCTCCATTACACACAGACAGGGAGAAAAGCTTGGGATCAGAACGCAGGGTCAGCCATTTACTGTATACAGCGCCCCTGGAGCAGTTGGGGTCAAGGGCCTTGCTCAGGGGACCAACGGAGTAGGATTCCTCTGCCAGCCGCGGGATATGAACCGGCAATCTTCCAGCCAAAGGCGCAGATCCTTAGCCACAGAGCCACTGTACATTGCGGTGTGGCATTTACCTTATGAAGAGAAAAGTGTATTTACTCATATAGTATATGATGAAGTCAGAAATCCTGCTTTGCAGTGTTACAGCCTCATGCTGGCAACACAACCACATTTTGGGGCACCAGGAAGTAACATTACTGGATTGGTTTGGCGAGGATTTGTAAAGGATTGAACTCTGAAGCAACTACTTGTTATGCCTGGTGACAGGTCATGCCATGGTCAATTATAAAAAGACTGTCTGCTTTGCACAGATGATCATAGCTGTTTCATTGAAAAGATAGAAGGGCCTCCAGAGAACCTAGTTCTATTTGCAGAAGATAACATTGCTTGGCAGATCACTGATTGTTACTGTTCAAAAACTGATATTGTATAGGAATTTGGATCTTCCTGCTCTTCTGTTGTGACTCTAGCTGGACAAGTAAAATTTGATGGTTGTTATAGAAATCTGCACACCCTGCTTGATATATTTGCATGGCAGAGTTAAGATTTCAGCACTCCCTTCACAGTATGGTAAATCTATCCTACCGCCTCTGGACATCCAGGACATAGATGAACAGTTGTCTTGAACCATGCAGTCATCTTGGTAAAAGTCAAAAACACTATTTAGCTCCTTCGAGATTTTACCCTGATATCTATCAGTGTCCGATTGAATCACTGTGCTCTTAAATTCTGTCAGTTTTTGTAAGGTAACTTTATTAGCCTCCTCCTGTACCTGTTGTCATGGTTGAATTGCACATATGAGTAGAATGGTTTGCTTGAATCTCAGTTATTGTCATTTTATGTATGTCAGACTGTATTTCATGTTAAAGACTTTTCTAATAGCCAGAACTTTGGTGCAGTTCAGCTTCTTGTCAGGGTAACATCTGTAATTTTAATTGACTCATATAATAAATACCATGATTGTACAAGCAAAGTCATTTTATTCATTTCGTTTTTGGTTCCTTCCAGTGCTGGGCCTAAAGGAGATAACATCTACGAATGGAGGTCGACAATCCTGGGTCCACCTGGCTCAGTCTACGAGGGAGGAGTATTTTTCCTAGATATCGCATTTACACCGGACTACCCTTTCAAACCTCCCAAGGTATGTAGAATTGCAGTGTCTTACTATACTACCTTGGATTGTGAAGTGCTTTAATTTTGTGCAACAAAAAAAATCAATTTGTAAAAGATTAAGTTGATTATCTAATGAAATGTTAGAGACCTTATTATACCAGCATGTCTGATTTGATTTAAATGTTTTTTTTTGTTTATCTCTTCTTCCCTTTATGAATTGTGAAACCTTAAATATTTTCTGTTCTGTACAATATCCTTTCTGACTTCAGACATTCATTTGCAAATTGCATTGTACAGTTTATCAAACAATATCATACTAATTCATATATTTAATATCACAGACAAACAGGTGAAGAGAGCTTAAGTGTGATCAGGAATGTTATATCACTTGAAAAGAGTTCCAGAAAAAAGCATTGCAAGCATGTGCATTCCAGATGTAGGTGCTTCAGCGATGTGGCCCTACTGATTACAGAACCTTTGATTATTATTGTTTATGTGGGCCTATACCTGCCATGCTCATGAAACCCACGCCAATGAGTTAATTCCGACCTAGTGTCTTTCAGTACCAAATCGTCTGCAGATATGTGCCTGCCATCACCACAGTACTGTATGAAAAAGCTTCCTTCCTTGATTGTGAGAGTTTCTGAAATTTTAGTGAAATGCTCATTTTGTTCAAGTAACAAATCACTCCTGTGAATCAATCTACATGATATTTGTGTTAAGATGATGTGCAGATAGGGCAACATGGTGGAGCAGTGGTTACCTTTGCCAGACCTGGGGTGCTATCTGTGTGGAGTTTGTTTATTCTCCCATGTTTATGTGAGTTTCCCCTCACCATTCAAAGATATACTGGAAGGTTAGTTAGCTTCTGGAAAACTGGCCCTGGTGTGGGTGTGGATGTAGATGTGTGTGTCTCTGTCTGTGCCCTGCCCTGGACTGGTGTCTCATCCTGGGCGTACCCTGGCTTGTGCCTGTTTTGTACCAGTATAGGCTTCAGCTCCTCCACAACGCAATATTTGTATTGTACATAATCCAATATTTTTATTGGATTAGAAAATGGGTAGATGTTGTGTAGATAAGTTAAGATAAGTAGATAAGTATGATTACCTGAAATTAATCATGTTCCTTCCAAACTTTTAAAAGGTTTAAATTTATGAAGTGGTTTCAAAGATCTCTTATTATACAATATTTTTGTGTCACCATCAAGTTAAATTAACAGACGTTTTTAGCTTTCTTGTATGCTTGTCAGAAATGGAACTCCAGATCAGAAAGAGACTTCCTTTCAGCTGTTCATTGGTGACATCAGACATCACCAATGAGAAGGAAATGGTTTATAATAAACACTGATAAACTGAAGCTCCTGTGGGCTGACACAGCTGTGGTTTTTATGGTTTTAGCTGCTGTTTTAAGTTTCCCTAGACACTTAAGCCTGCTCCAGCAAAAACAAATGTCTTTGCCTAATAGAAAGGTCTACCATCATGTTTTGTGTTGTGAGTTGGGGACCAATAGAAAAGTTTTCAAAGTGTCCTGCAGGAATACAAAGCACCTTTGTCAAAATCCTACCATGAAAGACATACTACTGTCATTGTTTATAATGTGATCACCACAGCTACAAATAGTCAAGACTAAACCACAGCTTATGATGTAACCAACAATAATCTTACATACACTAATTCATGTCTACTTGTGAAAAGTTATTTAGTCTATATCACATAATAGATGTGGTTATTTTTTGTTTGCACTTTTTTCTAAAGAAAATATTGATGATAGTTACCCTTCTTGCTATTCAGATTTGTAGGGACCATTTATAACAGTGTATTTTAATGTACTCATGTAATTGTGTTTTCGTTAGTCAGAAACCTCTTACCGCTGTGCAGACTGGAACTTGAAGAGACTTTTACTGAATTATTTTCTTAAATTATTTAGGTTGCAGGATGGGCATATTTTTGAGCAATGTTAAGGAAAAACTGGAAAATACAAACATATAAATTCAGCTTTTGAATTTACCCACAGGTACTGACACATGTTTGCAGGACTTAAAATCACAGATGTCTCCAGCTTAACCCTACCTCATGCCTGGGCTCATTCCTAACTCAAAATGTAGCTGATCCCAATCATCCCGATCTTATATTAACATTATGCCTAGGTATTCAGTTTTATTTTCCTGAATTAAAGAAAACATTGACAATTATTTATTACGAGTTTATGTGTTTTAATATGCTGTTAGACATTAGTAAGAACTGAGGAGAACGTTTGTTTTTTCTGTCAGTCCTTAATGTTTAAGTTCAACAGAGAAGTACTGTATATATCCTTGGCTGTAACTCTTAGAAGTGGTATTTGACACCTTAAAATAGTAAGTTTAATACATTTTGTTAAATAAATCATGTGTAAAATGCTCCATGCTATTTCTGAAACTCCAGAACAGAAAATGGATAGACACTCAGGAAAGGCTGCTTCTGGCAGCTACACACTATTGTGAAGACTGGAGTCCTTTTAATTCCTTATGGGCAAACAGCCCGTTCCATATTAAATGAGATGGATGGGCAGTTTGCCCAAGGTTTGGCCAAAGGAAGAAGATCAAAATGTAAAAATACGATAAAAAAAAACTTTATATAAAAATTGGATACATTTTTAAAGAACTAGAAAAAAAAATTAAAATGTAAAAAAGGATAAACACTACTTTTTATCTAAAAAATATTTAAGAATATTTAGAAGATGTGACAGTTTATTTAAGTGACCAAGCTTGAAAGGAGGAAAATGTGTAAAGCATGAAATGCATTACATTTTCTTTAATTGCAACATGTAATGATGTTCAGATGTTCATCCCAAAATAGGGTCTTAGATTACATTTAATTTAGAGGTGAACATAACTATCTGCATCATAAGTAACAAGTATTTTGGAAAAAAGCTTGGTTTCAGAAGACAGCCCTGGGGTGCCCCGTTTTAAACACCTGGTACTGGGGTGTTAACTAAAACAAGTGATAAGATCAGTTTTGCCCGTCCCACGTACGAAAGTGCAGTGCACTCCCAGTGCACTCTTCTACCAGGAAATAAGGCTAATTTCACACCGCCTGCTTTCACAGCTTCAGCACCTGGATTACATATTAAGAGATAGTACAGCTTGGAATGTTTGCCATTACAATCAGGATTTCATCACCATGTTATTTGGATCAAATTTGTCTGCTGTGAATTTTGATGTATTGTTAAGGAAGATGAGCCATGTAAAGGTTATGTGAATTGCAGACTGAAGAAGATATTTCCTTTTGCTATTTTTGACTTTGCTTGAACTGCAGCTGTTTGTTATCCTCTAGGCATTCTCTGATTCCTGATCCTTTTCCATTGAAGATTGAATTTGAGCTCAGAACACATTACATCTCACTAGTTGGTCTTTTGATCTTGTAAGCCATGACTTTCATACAGGATATAGATCAACATATCCCAGATCAGGACTCTTCAGCATGTGGCCATTGTTAATCCATTCAATTATATTCTGTACTTTCTTTGCTTTTTAAGAGGTTTTATGAGTTTAACAATGCTGATGCACAATGCAAATGCTAGGTTTTACATCGATATCTCATTGGGTACAGACTCTGTAATGTTGTAATGTTGCTTATCTTTTAAATAGGGAGAAGATAGGTTTATTTAAGTAGTATTGCTCCTTAGCATAATAAAATACTAAGTTTAGGTCATGTAATTTTATAAAAACATCCCATGTCCAGTGTTTAGTATTTGAGGTGCATTAAAATCGAGCTGTTTAGGAATGTATGAAACTAATGGTTCAATAAGAAGTGACAATGTCAAACAATGAAGGTTACCATGCCCCACTTATTGTTTTAGAAAATTGCCTGGCTGGTATTAGCATGATTTAGTGTAGTATGTCTGTTAGGGAGCGTGTCAGCCCAAGACCATGACATCATAACATCAAAGATTCATACAGTGACTACAGCACAAAAATGTCTAGGTAGTAGCAATAAAGAAGCAAAAAATCAATACACTTGCGATGCCTTTAAAGACAATTTTGACAAACGAGAGACAAAGTCACTATTTACTTTGAACCATTGAACATCTGTAGTGGTGGCTAAGAGAGGGGTAGAGTATTTTAACCATAAATTAGTTTTGCCCTTCACAGACCTGATGGTGTCTGAAGATATCGTGGTGGGTGATGACTATGAAGTGGGAGGAGTGGAGTGGGAGTCTCCTTTAATACAAGAACCTTTGTGCAGATTGAGGGCACGTTTACTGCTCAGTGACGAATATACAAAGGTCCAACTGTTCTCGTGTTTCTGCAAGCCAATGCAAAGGTGTCATACTGTGCTAGTGTTATATGATGGCATGACTTATGGCATGTGTCTTGCCCTGGCCAGCCTTTTGTCCTGACCAGGGTTCAATAGAACATCTGTGGAACCAGCTCACCAGTGCCATTAACAAGAGACGTCTGTAACCAGTCAACCTTTGTCGTCTGGCCACAGATACAGAGGAGGTGTGGTTAAACATCCCACATGTCTGTCCAGACACTGATCAAGTCTATGCATCAGTGCTAAGAATTATGCTAATACTCAGGAAGGTCATACCCAAAACTAATTCCATAATGTTTGTCATTTAGATTTACTAGGCTGAACAGGATTCACTGATATGGATTTGTGTTCACATGATATGTGTTTTAGTGTGGTATCTGTGTTTAATATGTTTGATTAAATGTTAAACCTGAATGTTGTTTCTTTGGTGCATTATTATGCTTGCCATGTGTGCATAAAGTGTGTTTTATTGCTTTTTAGTACAATAAACAAAAATGTTGTCAGCTCAGATGGTAAAAACAATTTGCTTTTGTTTTTTGGATTCTGAAAGAGAAGAGTATTTTAACTGGATTGTCTAAAAGACGTTTCTTGCTCATAATGCACAAAAAATGAAGACTCAAAGCGTCTTTCTTATTTGTGTGTTGTGTATGTTGTATGTTGTCTGTTTCCATTAAGCATATGTTTAGTAATTGTCTGTTTCCTAAACTACTCTTCTCTAACATGACATACAGTA